GGAGTCATCGAAGGAGGATTGGGGTCATCATATTCTCTAGCATGAGGGCGTGTTCGAACCATGCGTGTTTTCAGGCAAGTGGCACATGGTTGTGAAGAAAAGAGACCGCGGGTGGGTCGGGAAGGAAAGAAAGGACGCTGCGATATGGCACAGCGTGACGGAAACGCAACTTTTTCGACGAGTGAAAAAAGAAAATGCCAGTGCAGGCGAGGTGGCTATAGCGGCAAAGGCGAAAACATTGTTTGAGCATCTGCGTGCGAACAAACAACTGGAATTCAGCACAAAGTTCTACGACCTTGCATCAAGTGTGTTGTACGGCTCCATCGATTGGAAAGTCGAACAGGCGCCATCATTACAAGGAATCGAAAGCATCAACTCTCTGAAGACTCAAGACGTCATCGTGTCTAACACCATCGTCGCAATTGCTAGAGGGGATGCAGCCTGCCAAACGGACACACGTGCAAACGCAACTCACGTGCACAACGAACAGTTGCGAGCATGTGCTCAACAAAGCACACAGAGAAGCGCAATGGGGGATTCCACTATGATTCGCAAGGACGGCGACGACATGGAGTCAAGCACATTGGCGGAGCAGCCAACGGGGGGGGTCAACGATGGGGCAACAATCGTCGGATCTTTCGGGTCTCTTGTAGCCACAATGGCGGCGAGGCAAGGTGTATCCGAGATGATGGAGACCGATGCTGGGCAGGATGGTGAAAGTCAGACGGTGAAGGTGGTACAAGAGGAGGAGGCAGCATCAACAGAGCAGACGAAGAAAGGTGAGGGATCCCGCGAACAAAATTTCATAATAGATATGAGATCGGAGAGTACGGACAAGGATATGATCCAAAATAACGAGCGGAAAGATGAGTACGCTGCACCAAGAGTGGAAGGTGACCACGAAGAGGACGCGCAACGACTGAGACGGTCGACGAGAGTTGTGATAAAGAAAACTATGGTAGATGCATAGACAATGCTTAGACAGACATGGGTGTCTATACGTTTCTGGTTATATTGATGTGTTGTCACTAATGATGATGGGATATTCATCCGGGCCTCACATGGGTGTCTACGCATTTTTTGTTATATTGATGTGTTGTTGCTACTTACTATGTTAGGAAAATATGCTAGACAGGAATGGGGGGTATCTACGCGTTTTAGGTTATATTGTTGTGTTACTGGAAGTGTTATTGTGACACTTCAATTCTCGAAATTGCACTGCCGATCATAGAGGGTACCCCATCTCGATACGTAGGTGTGTGTGTGTGTGTGTGTGTGTGTAGGCAGAGGTGGACTCGTTAGCAGCGTTAGGTTCTGTGTGTGGATTAAATTGTGTGCGCATGCTTGGTACAGTTTTATAATAAAGGCATATGAAAACACACTATATGGGGCACTTTGCCTGCCATGTGTCAAGGACACCTCAAATTTCAGAGAACTTGTTATGCCATTTTTTAGCGCGCTGCGAATGGTCGTCTTAACCTACATCCCCACGAATTTGAAAAATGAAAACCATACTAACGAAATGAAAAAAAAAAAAAACCGTGAAAAAAAGTGAAACAGCAAGACAGCAAGGCTGGAGTAGTGAACTTATATTCAAAATATTGCCAAGAGTAGTGAACATGAACATCAGTGAATAGATGGAAGCAGGGTAACCGTTAACCACCATAGATCGCGATAAGTTTCATTGATCGATTTGCTCCCAAAAAATACAGGTAAATTTGGCAATAATGGTAGTTGTGTTATGCGGCATATTACGCCGAAGGGTGGAGGTCGGGGTGTTCATGTCAACTTGCTATAGTATCCTGTTAGCAGGATTTAGCAATTGCAATTTTATCCGCTGTTTCGGGCATGCAAATATGCCAGGCCCCAATAACGATAGCTTACGCTGGCGTATAATGTATTGTCATGTGCAGAAAGGAGGAACATAGAAGAAGTACGAAGATGCAAACAGGGATGGACGATCCACTTAGCAACGGATAAGTTGTCGGAGAAGGAGACGGCCGCAGTACAACATTTACGAGATTCAGTGCAAGTGGAGAATCGGACGGTCTGGACATCCACATACAACGGGGCAACAAAAGAAGAACTAACACTAACCGGGCATGATTTGAGTTTGATATTGCTTCAAGGCAATTGGTTGAACACCGAAATAGTTAACTATTATTTGAACCTCATTAGGCTTGACAACATGTATCACATAAGTCATCGCGAGTGTGATAGTGGACAAAACAAAACCGTAGTAGAAGGAAAAGGGCGCATCCCGATAACAATAATTTTTAGTTCCTTCTTCTTCGCGAAATTGTTCAACGACGACATGCAATACCAATATAGCGCTGTGCAAAAGTGGATGACAAATATAAATGTGGGTGACGTGGACTTAATAATAGTTTCATTCCATATTCGGATATTCAACCATTAAACACTAGTAATAGCGGACTTGAGACGCCAAAAAATGGACTACTACGACTCGCTTACGCCTGACACAGAATTGGCAAGGAAAGTGACCGGTGGTTTCGCAAGATTCTTGTTCGAACGATCGGTTAAACAGGGTAAGGTGGTAGATACAAAAGATTTCAACCACATATGGAATGTGCCAGACATTCCCAGACAGCGCGACATTAAAGAATTCGGTGTGTTTATGCTAACATATGCATCACTGTTGGCAAAATGATTTCTCCCGCCATTCAACTTCTCTTTCGACGACATCCACAGTATAAGGGGACGAATCGTTTTAGATGTACTTGTCACACCGAACTATCAGTTACTTGTGCAACAAATGACATATGATAGACGACATTATCAAAGCAAAACATTTGTTCAATTTGTGCAAATGTAAATAGTTGATTGGCTATGGTGGATAGACACCCATGAACATGTTCGGATGTATTTAACAAAGCAACAGCGCGACATGCCCGATTGAACACCATTACTGCGTTACTTCAGCTGACCGGGTACCATTGCTACCCCGTACCCCTTACCCCTTACCCCTTACCCATATTACCCCTTATCCCTTATCCCTTACCCCTTACCCCTTACCCCTTTACCCCCGACCCCTGACCCTATACCCATAACATACTTCATAAATTACATACAAAAATCGCAAAAAAATGGACTTTCAATTTCGTACAAAAAATAAAAAATGTCCATTTTGACGAAATCGCAGTTTCAACTCCTTTGCTACGCCCCTTTCTTTTTTCACTTCTCTTTCAGCCATAATCTCGCCTTACGCCATGCCCGAGGCACGTCGCAGATAGGGAAGAGGAAGACGTGGTAGAGGAGGGAAGGCGCGCGAAGAGCCGCCGGCTCGCGCACGGCGTTAATAAAGTTCAGAGGAAGAGGAAGATGAGCCTAGAGGCTACGACGCTCACCCAAGATCTTATCCCCACCACTCGTTTGCGGTGTGGTACGAAAGAACTCCATCCCCGAATAGGATGGGGTACTTTCGAAAGAAGTTTTAGGCGCGCTACGGCGCGCTCAACACTTCTTCCCCTCCATATACTGCCAGGGCCCCCACCTCTCCTACAGTAAGCGGAACCCTGGTGCCTATTCCCCTACTCTCCGTCCCTTGTACAGCCTCCTCTTCTTCTTACACTAATAGTTGTACCCTTCTCTGCATCTTTTTCTTTCTTTCTTTACTTCAAGTCGAGTTCATGGTCGTCTTTTACATCCTGTACAAATGCGACTTTCTCTCAAACTTTTGAATTCCCCTTTTTTTACCAGATCATGTTACATCTCACAACGTCTCTAGCTTGAGAGTTTGAATACCTTAAGGCCAGGGGTGTAGGTTCCTTGTGAACCAGGCCGCTTGTCGGCCACCAAATAAATTTAAGAAGAATTTCTCTTCTGCTGCTGACATGACTTGCCGCTGAACTCTTTCAGCTACGAAGTTGCCTTGTTCCTTGTCTCGGCGGCAATGGCAGGGATATTGCCCAAATGATATCAACATTGAGAGCACTCACTCTATTATGCTTTGCTGAAGATAGGGTCTACCAAACCCCTTTTCATGTTCGATGGCCTGAGTGAGACGTCTTCTCAACTCCTCAAGCAACTCAGGGGGATACCAAACCCCGTCTTTTTCCTCTGGTCTGCACGAGGCGTATCCTCACTTCTCAGACAAATCAAGGGAGATACCAAACCCTTTTTCTTTTCTCTGGCCTTGGAGCTCTTGAAGTGTATGTGTGATCCTACAAAACAACAAGTCCCTTAATCCCAACATACAGACTCCCTGACAAGTAGTCATCAATTCAGTAATTAAGTAAAACAAATAATTATTGAAACCCACAATAAATAAACACAACTGTTCTTCACACCCAAGAGCTATTGATTGCCTTGGTTTTGGCCCACCACTGGCTAGGAATGACAAACCTCCCGTCAGTCTTACATACCTTATTCGGCCCGCCTCAGGCCAGGACTAATCAAACCATTTGTCTTGACAACCCCTTTAACCTGCATCGAGGTCAAAACCACCATACCCACTACTCGAGTATGGTGACCCTTTGGCACTCTCGCCAGAACACCCAGACTAAAGTGGGTTTGGTCACCCTATGACAGTAGACCTCCCGTCAGTCAAACTGTCCCGTACCCGGATTTGACCACTGCGGTCGGGGACCGGTTCACCCACCAATTTTTGATCTGGGGCGCTGGCTGCCTCGCCCAGATTTTTGAACGTGGGAGCGATCTAACCACGGTTCCAGGCTCTGGCGAACCTCATTGGATTGCATCCTCTGACTGCGGTAGGGTTCCAGCCGACCCTTTTCACCTCCCTGACCAGACCCCCAGAGTCTTAGCCTAAGTCAACTACGGAATTCGATACTCGCGTCAGGGACCTGCCGACCCCACCAGATTGCAACCTACTGCGGAAAGGCTCTGGCTGGTTCCCAAGAAAAAGGTAAAAAAAAGACTTGTTTTCTATCTTGGTTCCAATTATTTGAAAGCCATTCTTGAATATATCCAATATAATTGAAAGTTTTTTTTGGTAAAAATAACGAAAGATCTCTTCGTACATAATTGGGAGAATCTATCTTAGCAATATTCCAAGAAAAAGTCCCGACAACCAATGCATCTTTAGGTTAGAGAAGAGAAAATCCCAAGCACAGACAATCAGATAAGCATCTCAAATCCCACAATAAAGCAGTCCATGCCCCAAGTAACAGGACAAACATTTCTCAAGAGACGTCCCTTCAGTCTCAAGAGGCACTGGACAACAATCAGCAGCAACCGACAATATATTCTCTTGAGACCTCCCTTCAGCCTTAGGGAATACAAAGTGTTGATCCCAGAGAGGTCTCTTACCTCATCTGAGAGTACTTCTAAGAGACCTCCCGTCAGCCTCAAGAAAGTATAAAGATACTGGTTCCAGAGAGGTCCCTTCCCTCATCTGAAACTGAAGGTAGGCAACTTAGCCAAAAGACACGAAGTCCCCCAGTTGACAACTCTCTGGTCAAACAGGGCTGAACCTCTTTATGCCCACCTTCCTGATAGCTTTCTCGGACACGTAGCTTAGCCGGCAAGAAGTCCCTCTACTGACAACTCTCTGATCGGATAGAGCTGAACTTTCTTGAGCCTGTCAGACTCTCTTAATTATAAGGGATCAATATTGATTACTCTTTGATGTGTCACAACCATGAATTATCTAAACTGGATACTGCATTAATATTTTGAAGGATGGTCTCTCATCACCCTTTTCACTGTAAAATTGTTCCCTGGTCAGAGGTAAGATACTCATGAATCGACTGTGGCTCTGCATCAATAACTTTGATCTCACTTTCTCTGGAGGAAAATTAATTCAGATGCACAAACGAACATAAATCATCTGGAAGATTTTTCTCAAGTCTCTCGTGTTAAAATCTAACATGCTGAAAATTAACACACTGAACTAATCATGCAGGGGTAATCAATGTCCGCTGAAACTTTAGTCTCTGCAGTGCCTTGTTGTCTCACAGTACTTTCTCTTAATCTTCTGGAACTGTTTTCTTACTGGAGGACTGTCCTTTCTTTCCTTTCTTCCTGGTCATTGTGGGAACTAGGTCAGGGTCTCTGAGGATGAACTTACGGAGTCTTGACCCTGACACCAGGGTTGTCAGGCGGGGGCCCTCGGGGGCAAAGCCGGGGTAGGGGTTTAACCCTCGGATCCCCGCCGCGGGGGTGCCCC